TTTGTCATCAGAGCAGAAACAGAACTTGGAGCAGTTGCTGACTTCTCATGCAGACATGTTTGGCGATATTCACATCCAGACTACAGTTATTCACCATGACATCGAGGTGACAGACAACCAACCAGTCAAGTCACACCCATATAGAGTCAACCCTACCAAGTTGAATCTCATCCGGAAAAAAGTTGACTACATGCTTCAACAATGATTGGTGAGACCTAACAGCAGCAGTTGTAGTCCTTGTATTTTGGTTCCAAAGAAGGATGGAACTCACAGGTTGGTTATTGACTACCGTAAGCTAAATGTAATGACTGTTGATGATAACTTTCCAATATCTGGAGTAGATGATTGCATAGACAGTGTTGGTAAAGCCAAGTTTGCAACAAAACTAGATCTGTCAAAAAGGTATGGGCAAATTCCTTTAACACCAAGAGCACGGGAGATGAGTGCATTTATAACTGCAGATAGGTTGTATGAATTCACTGTAATACCTTTTGGGCTGAAAAATGCCCCAACAACTTTCCAGCATCTTATGAACTTAGTATTAAAAGACACACCACAATGTAGAGCATTGTCACCGGAAGTCCGTCTACTAAACGGACAACGCAATGCAAAGTTGTCGCCGAGCGAAAGTGTTAGGGGGCGATGAGGCAAGAGAGGTGGACGCCATCCTGACATGAGGGGAGGCGGATACGTTGACGACTAGACCTTGCTATCTGAGGGTTTTTCTCTGGCCGTACAGTTAGATAAGCCATCATTACTTGTTATCAGGGTTGCAAGATAGGGTAGAGTAGTAATGCAGTCTTTGGTGATGTTTTATAAGAGAGAGTCCAGGTTTCCTAGAAGTGTAAATATGTGTGTCACTGGTTGGTAGGTATAGTGGCTGTGTGCAAGGTTCCAGGTTTGGGATTGTAAGCCATAGGGTAGCCAGTGCCCACTTGGGGGTTGTATTAGTACAGCATGCCCTTAAGTTGTAAGGAATTCACATTGTTGAATATATATTATCGTGTGTGTCATATGCATATAAATTTGTGTCTTTGTACTACGCTGTTTCCCTTACTCCTTGTTTTCCCCTAGGCTCAAGTAAAATCATTTATCCCCCTAGACAACATTTAAAGGTCCACCACCACCGAATTCTTGACAGGTCTCTGAGACACAACAAAATTCTTTGACACAGCCTATGACACCCACTTCTACCCAGTGCTACTCAAAACCTCCTAGCATTATGCAAGTAATGAAGAAATATGGCATATTTACCTATTACAATGATGGTATTGAATGTAGAATGTGGAAAAACATAGTATTACTCTGAAATAATCTCTGGATACGTACATAAGTACATATTCGTTTAACCACTGGACTGCGCCAACCGAGAAAACTCTGTCCGTAGGAAACTGCGCCAATGGAGAAAACTTTTTTTTATTATTTTTTTGTACCAATTCAAAATGTGTGGCCGGTTGGTTGTGTACGAAATGGACTCTTAAGGACCTCCAGTGAGAGGTAGCCATCTTGGAAAAAATGCCCAGAATGCCCAAGGGCTGCTGGCTGGGTTAGAACTGAGTGAGCAACCATGGGTGGTGCACACGCCTCTGGCTCCCAAACACCTGTCTGATGCGGTGTTGAAAGATCATGCTCTGTCGGTGTAATTCAAACCTTATTGTTTGAAGAACATAAGGGTTATGATATTTATGAAGCTAGGCACAATAAGGAACTAACACAAAGGTCGGATGCAAGTGATACAGCACCTATGAGGACGATACAGTTGTAGCTCTGAGCGCCATCCTTGCCCACCTATGCAATCTCTAATTTATATAGATAATACATAGATGAATGATTTTCTGCATTTAGTGATGATGCATCTGGTACAAGTAGCATAGATAACCGCTTCCATGGTGGTGTTTTCCATAGATATTTTCAAGAATAGCTGAATTTCTTCCAGACTGACTGACACTCTTTGAGGCTAGCTGAATCTCTTCCTGACTGATAATTACCTAAGTGTAGTTATAGGATGAGAGCTACGCTCGTAGTGTCCCGTCTACCCAGCACTCTTGCTGGGTAGACTTTGTCATATAATGCTTTGAAACTACTGACAGTTTTGGCCCCCACCACCTTCTCACTTAACTTGTTCCTACCATCTACCACTCTGCGAAAGTGAATTTTCTTATATTTCTTTGGCATCTTTGTTTAATTAGTTTAAATCTATGACCTCTTGTTCTTGAAGTTCCAGGTCTCAGGAAATCTTCCCTGTCGATTTTATCAATTCCTGTTACTATTTTGTACGTAGTGATCATATCACCTCTTTTTCTTCTGTCTTCTAGTTTTGGCACATTTAATACCTCTAACCTCTCCTCGTAGCTCTTGCCCTTCAGTTCTGGGAGCCACTTAGTAGTATGTCTTTGCACCTTTTCCAGTTTGTTGATGTGCTTCTTAAGATATGGACACCACACAACTGCTGCATATTCTAGCTTTGGCCTAACAAAAGTCGTGAACAATTTCTTTAATATTTCGCCATCCATGTATTTAAAAGCAATTCTGAAGTTAGAAAGCATGGCATAGACTCCTCACACAACGTTCTTTATGTGATCCTCAGGAGATAGTTTCTATCTACAACCACCCCTAGATCAACTCACCCATAGGTGAGTCAAATTAAGCCGCAGGCTCCACTCCTGGTGGTGCCCTTCCGTCAATTCCTTTAAGTTTCAGCTTTGCAATCATACTTCCCCCGGAACCCAAAGACTTTGGTTTCCTGGAAGCTGCCCGCCGGGTCATGGGAATAACGCCGGCGGATCGCTAGTTTGCATCGTTTATGGTTAGAACTAGAGCGGTGAATATTAGATCCAGTATTGACGGAACATCCCCTTCCCTCATTCTTGTACTCACCTAGTTGTGCTTGCGGGGGTTGAGCTCTGGCTCTTTGGTCCCGCCTCTCAACCGTCAATCAACAGGTGTACAGGTTCCTGAGCCTATTGGGCTCTATCATATCTACACTTGAAACTGTGTATGGAGTCAGCCTCCACCACATCGCTTCCTAATGCATTCCATTTATTAACCACTCTGACACTAAAAAAGTTCTTTCTAATATCTCTGTGGCTCATTTGGGCACTCAGTTTCCACCTGTGTCCCCTAGTGCGTGTGCCCCTTTTGTTAAACAGCCTGTCTTTATCAACCCTGTCGATTCCCTTGAGAATCTTGAATGTGGTGATCATGTCCCCCCTAACTCTTCTGTCTTCCAATGAAGTGAGGTTTAATTCCCGTAGTCTCTCCTCGTAGCTCATACCTCTCAGCTCGGGTACTAGTCTGGTGGCAAACCTTTGAACCTTTTCCAGTTTAGTCTTATGCTTGACTAGATATGGACTCCATGCTGGAGCCGCATACTCCAGGATTGGTCTGACATATGTGGTATATAATGTTCTGAAAGATTCCTTACACAAGTTTCTAAAGGCCGTTCTTATGTTAGCCAACCTGGCATATGCTGCTGATGTTATCTTCTTGATATGAGCTTCAGGGGACAGGTCTGGCATGATATCAACCCCCAGGTCCTTCTCTCTCTCTGACTCTTGAAGTATTTCATCTCCCAAATACCAAATCTTGTGGCCTGCTTGACGTGTTGATACATGAATGTCTCCAAGATGAGGTTTACAAATCTGCCACTCTTTGAGGCTAGCTGAATCTCTTCTTGTGTGGGACCTTACAAAGCGATCTATTGAAGACTACCTTACAAATTGAGCTTTTCCTATAATCTTATCAATACTACCTTATGCTTTACAAGCTTGGCTACATACCACCTACAAGTACTAAAGCCAAGAGTGTATGTGAGTACATTACTTGCAAGCACACAGAACGAAGAAACAGGAAGGGAAAATCTATCTGTATCGGTGCAACCAGGGCGAAGTCGCGCTGTGCACCATGGACTACTTCGTTCATTATTATTCACTTCTGAAGTACTGAGTGTGTAATACAGTGTGTTACTGTGCAAATAATGTGTGAAACTGTACATATTGTAGTTTTGGTGAATTTTTAACAAGTAATATTGCTACAATAAACATTTATTGTGGACACATTACTGACACATGTATCACAGTTGCATGGAACATTATGAACATTCTACTGTATACATATTGTAAAGGACACAAATATGCATCATATACGATAAAAAAACAAATAAAACTGCATTGGAAATACATAGAACAAATAATTGAAAGTGTATTTGTGGCAACACCTAGTACAGTGGCACCTCGACTTACGATAATTTCGAGTTACAATGTAAATTTCATCGAAAAATGTGACTCGACATCCGATGGTGTCGTCGACTTCCGATATTTATTGGTAATCGTTCGGGTCGACCGAGCGTGTGGTTCCCAGTCACGCGGCTGACCTGCCTCAGTTTACTACAGCTGCCCGCTTAGTGACGATCGCGCCTATAGGAAATTTCGCGTTTGTGGTGATTTTTTGCATTTTGAACATTAAAGTAATTATTATATATCATGCCACGAGTCCCAGGAAAGTCAGTGATAGGGATAAACATATGAAAACCCATGTAAGGATGACCATAGAGCAGAAACAAGAGTACAGAATGTCTCTTCCTCAACAATTAAGAAAATGTGTGCAGCATGGGAAGAATTGCAAACCTTTGCTGAAACGACTCACCCAAATCAAGCTGCAGTAGGCCGTTGCCTTAATCTATTCAATGACACTGTGATGCATCATTACAGACAAATGTTAGAACGAAGACAACCACAACCAGGTCCTAGTGGTATTCAGGCAAAACGTAGGAGACAGAGTACCCCAGAGAAAACATCAATGCCTGATGTGATAATGGAAGGGAACTCCCCTTCCAAACAGCAACAACTCTCCTCCTCCCAACTCATCACCATCTTCCATACACCATCAAGAGCCCTCCATAAAGGTAAGATTAACTTAGGTACTGTATTGTAGTTAGAAAAAAACATTGTATTCAGTATAAAATGTATTTGTATGGTAATACTTTGGAGGGTGGGGAATGGATTAATTCAATTCCCTTTATTTCTTATGGGAAAAATCGCTTTGACTTACGATATTTTGAGTTACGATCCGTCTCTGGGAACGGATTAGCATCGTAAGTCGAGGCCCCATTGTACTTGAATGACCCGCGCGACCTTGTCTGGGAGCTTCACAAACGGGCAACCACCCCTGATGATGTCACAGCGCATCTTGTCCATGTCCCCACAGCCCTGGGAGCTTCACGAACGGGCAACCACCCCTGATGATGTCACAGCGTACCTTGTCCATGCCCCAATAGCCTTGGGAGCTTCACGCACGGGCAACCACCCCTGATGATGTCACAGCGCACCTTGTCCATGTCCCCACAGCCCTGGGAGCTTCACGCACGGGCAACCACCCCTGATGATGTCACAGCGCACCTTGTCCATGTCCCCACAGCCCTGGGAGCTTCACGCACGGGCAACCACCCCTGATGATGTCACAGCGCACCTTGTCCATGTCCCCACAGCCCTGGGAGCTTCACGCACGGGCAATCACCCCTGATGATGTCACAGCGCACCTTGTCCATGTCCCCACAGCCCTGGGAGCTTCACGCACAGGCAACCACCCCTGATGATGTCACAGCGCACCTTGTCCATGTCCCCACAGCCCTGGGAGCTTCACGCACGGGCAATCACCCCTGATGATGTCACAGCGCACCTTGTCCATGTCCCCACAGCCCTGGGAGCTTCACGCACGGGCAATCACCCCTGATGATGTCACAGCGCACCTTGTCCATGTCCCCACAGCCGAAGTATGTGGAATTTGGTTTTTATTTTTACATAGACATGTTCAGGGAAGGGAATTTATCATTTTACAAAGAAAAAATAATTTTTTGGGAACACTTAATTTCATGCGCATGGGAAATTTCACAATAAACTCAGCGCATCACAGTGGTTAAGTAGCAAACGCATACCAGGGAATAACCTTCAGCATCTATTTAACAAAACCATTGTCCTATGGAGTTGATTTTATTTCCAAACACATAATTTTAATAAATATTAAATGTTTTCTGGCTATTTATGCTAAATATTATTGTAAATCTGCATTCTTGTAGTTAATATCATTAATTAAATTTGAGCAGAGAAGTGTGATGTGTGTACAGGAGGCTGATATACCAGCAAACACTCTCCAGGCAACAATGTGTCTTTGATAAGTCGCTCCACTATATTGTTGCTTGGATCATTGACTTTCTTTGGAGTCTACTGCTACCTAGTTTCATTTAATTTCTTTATCAAAGGATACTTTTTAAGAGTAAAAATATGTTTTTTCATGTTCTACATTTAGCACCAACATTATAATGAGTAAATATATTATATTTATTCATTACTTACGTAATGCTACGAAACTTTGGGTAGCTTTGAGTAGATTTGGGGAGCTTTGGGTAATTACACAAACCGATCCTTGGTAACTACAAAGATAGCATGAGTTTTAGCAGTACTGTACAGGGGTCCTGATACTTAACACTTTACAAATGGGGATCACAGTTAATAAGGTATAGACCATGTGTTACACAAATCTGAGTGAAAGAATCAAAGTAACACAAACAATCACCTACACACAGAGTTCTATAAATAAACTTAATTTAAAACTGCCTATCAATAACTTATACAGTGAAGAAGCACCACTATAGCATGTATGGGGTACAATGCACTTATCGTTATTGTAGGAGACTGCCACACATCACACAATCGATGATTGGACTGTTTTCCAACCCAAAACCAAGTGGACGAGACAGCTCGCACATCTGTGTCCAACCACCCAGTTCCAATAATGATTCATACACACACGTGTTTTATACACATCTCCCAATAGTTCATTTATATGTCTTATAAAGTTCCAGTCCTGTTTTTCAACATTTAACACTGTTGTTTCTATATATTTTCCAGCACTCAATATACTTTTTAAACATGCATTTTCTTTGCTGTTTACATTGTTTTGGGGATGACACTTTTCTGCTATGACAACACTCCTCGCATGTGCAGAACTGGCTATTGTACTGATGGGGATTCTAAATGTAAGAATTCCAAACTGTTTTTCTACATTTAACACGGCTGTTTCTGTCTCTCTCCTGGGTTACACCCTTCACAAGGGTCTCTCTTACAGTGCTGCCTCCTTGCCTGCAGGGTGGGTTCCATGGGCTGGTTCAGCTTTGTGTTACGGTTCTCTGATTCTGCCAGTTTTGTCACTGCTGGGACCTTCAGGTTTTGGCCTGTCTGTCCTTCATAAGCTTATTTTACCTGCTATCTCTTCAGTTTTTCAGGTTCATTCCTGTTGCACCCTCCTTCCCCATCACTTTGGTTGTTCTCAGACACCTTGGCTCTGAGGTGAGGTTTTGTGCTCTGTGCTCACCTCACATCCCAGGATTGTTGGTCGGGTTAACACCTTTGGGATCACTGCTGGGGATGAGTGTTACTTCTTTGCTGTGGGCTCTACTGGGGATTATTCTTCCTCCAAGCTCCATTGTGGCAGCACCTGGTGGTTCGTTCACTGTGCTGTAGGGGGTCAATTCAGTATTTGCCCCACTGAAGCTAGGCTCTTCATGTGGCTCAGCTTCTCATGATTTGGTGCTCTGTACAGTTCCTGTGCAAGGTGTGTTCCACATTCTTGTGAATTGTTTATCATGCATCTGTCCCTTTTCCACAAAGCGGACCATTCAAGATGAGTCTTTCTCTTTTCTGTGCGAGGTGTTCAGTTGCCCTGAGAAGGACCTCTTTGCGTTGGCCAGGTTCCCATCCACAGTGGACCAACAAGATGCCAATAATTGTTGTTACTGAATACTGAGACACACTCTCAATGATACAGCTTCAAGGGCTCACCAAGAAAGGGTTATTTCATTTCATTCAAGCTTTTTTTTTTAGTTTCAACTGACTGGATACAAACTACTTTTTCCTATCATCTCTTTAATCAATTCCTGAAGGGGTGGCTTCAGGAAAAATGTTCTTCAATCTTTGAAATGTACACATGCTTATCTTACTCAGAGTTGCTAACTCCATCATAGGATGGGAAGCTCCCAGAGCCATCATTCTTTGCCTTCAGTGAGGACTGGTGAGAGTTGGAGTTCTCTGAAGAAATATCCCTGGAAGGCCCCTTACTAACATGATCAGATGTGATGGATTCATCACCCTCACAAGCACTAGACTGATCACTATTGCTAATATCAGAACTGTCAGGAATGTTTTCTGATGATGCATTATGGTTAACATTTGAACCGACAGAATACTTGTGCTTAACACATTTATTTTGAAATAATGATGAATGATAGGTTACAAAAGGTGAACCAATCTGAGTTTCCTTATCTCTCACTAGTGCAGTTGCTAAAGTCTGCTCTTGTCTTGTCTGAGTGGTGGCAAATGACTTATTTACTCTTGCATTTTCCTGTCTTAAATTTGATGACATAGGCTTACTTTCAGTTTCTCTTGAAATTTTTTCAACTATATCATTTTCCAAAGACAGGTGAGGATTCTGACCCAACATTTCCAGAACTTGATGTATGTCCCGAGCACCAATTTCTGTGACTTCACGTGGCTTGATGAAACCCCGTTTCACGAGAGAGGCCCAAAATTCTTCTTTCTGACACTGCAGTTGGTTTTTAATGCTTTCCTCACCATGTAAGTTGCCTTCTAAATTAGTAGCAGCTGTCTGTTTTTCAATTTGAATGCCAGCTTCAAATTCCTTTTCAGCCATGGATGCTCCAACATCACTAACACAGTGATTAGCTGATAATTTAAAATTGGTAATACTGTCCACAGTCCTTTGAGGAATAATATTATTTTTATGGAAAGTTATTTCTTTGGGAGATCTCATGGGTGCATCATGTTTGAAGGTATTGTAGTTACTATCTCCTAAGGTTGACATAACTTGTTTTGCTTTCTGTATGGCAGTTTCCAGACTAACATCCAATGATGAGTGCTGCGTCTCCATCCTTAATGACACTTCTGAAACTATTTCCTGTGTTTTCCTATGTTCCTCTTCAATTTTACATACCCTGCAAAGTATTGAATACAGAAATTACAATCAGCCTAAATACTAAATCTCTGAGTTTACTTAATTAATGTGTTGAAAAAGATATAGAGATACAATCACAGGCAGTGAGTGAACATATTCAAAATATCAAGAAAAGTATTGGTTTCTAAATACAGTATTATATAACTGCGAGCGCTAATATTATGCCTATAATCTTATCTTATGGTAAGCCATTATTATATAATTGCGAGCATTAATATAAGCCTATACTCTTATCTTATGGTAAACCATCATTATATAATTGCGAGCAGTAATATTATGCCTATAATCTGATCTTCTGGTTAACCATTCTTATTAATGATTATAGTTTTCAGTTGTACTTGGAAATCATAATGGTTGGATCTGGACAGAAGTGAAAATGACACTGAAGGAAATCATTTAAATAAAATTTGTTTTGTTGGGAGACAGGAAGCCAGTTATATGTAGAGATGTTAGGCTCATATCAGGGTCCACCCCACTCCCCACGTTGCATCTCCACAATTAACTAACTTCCAGGAACCAATTTTCTGGTAGGTGAACAGAGGCATTAGGTGAAACGAAAAGTACCCAACTATTTGTCCCATCTGGGATTTCTGACTGTGAGTTAAGAACGAACCAAACTGTACTAAATTTAAAATGATAGCTAAGCAATTTGTTTACATTCACAGTACATTATAAATTGGTGCTCTACACTTTTATCATCTCTGCACAGCTCTCTCATTATCAACATTATAATATTCTATTATATCCAGGCCACCTAGACTTTCATTAAGGAAAAAAGAAAAATCATCATCAATGTATATCCTTCAATTTATTCCTGCAGAGTCCTTCATGTATATCTAGGATGCAATTGTTTCCATTCTGCCCTCAACCTGGTGTTTGAAGATTGCAATGACACAAGACAGTCTTGTTTAAGGTTAAATAACACATTTCTTTCTAGAGTTAAAAAGAAATATGTCTGCAGTGAGCCCATGTAAGAAACAACCAGCATTGAATGTAATGAAACACCATTTTCTGGGTGTGCCCCGGAGGCTCCCTGGAGCTTATCGGGCTAATGTGTTTTTATATTAGACCGGGACATTAGCTATGGAGTTCGGATCTACCAGGGACCACGATCCAGAACCTGGCCTCTTCAGAGAGGTTTCAGGGAGCAATGGCCTTGGAAAACCCCCTTGTGGTTGGGGGTTTTCCTTATTTGCCATTGACCGGGGTTTGGCACCCAGAAAGGTAGGCATAACAAAACAAACCCCACATGGTAAGAAACTAAAAACAAAAACCGAACAGAGAGGTAGAACTCCCTTCAATCCCAAGGAAACAAGCAAACATCACACTCTACTGCCGCGCAACACATCCGCGCAGCCCTTTCCTTCCCAAGAGGGGGAGGGGGGACCCCGGACCATACCGGGCCGGCTGCATAGCACTCAAGTTCGGAAGCTAAGCTTCAACCAATGTGAAAAAATCACCAACCGGTGGGAGGGAGTGGTTGCCAGGGAGCCTCTGTGGCTCACCCAAAAAATGGTCTTTCATTACATTCAACGCTGGTTTTCTGAGGAGCCTCTGCGGCTCCCTGGAGCTACATACCCAAAGAGAAGGAAAAAGAGGAACTTACCCAGGAGCCGGCTGCCACAAACTCCTCAACTCGAAGTTGAGACAACTGGCTGCAACCTGCGACCCAAAGCAACACAAGAATGCCCAGGAGCAGGCATGTTCACCAAATAACAGGCAGCCAAGACCCTGTTCAATCTCCAAAATCCCTGCGCCGAATATTAGCCCAAGACATGTTACAAAACACAGCAGCCAAAGCTGCAAACTTCCGGACATCATGGGGACGAGGATAGACTGCAGGCTGGCTAGTCTTAATAACCCTGCGGATGATCTGGGAGCCCCGAGCCCTGGAACAAGGAACGAGGGAAACCGGATCAACCCAAGGCGCATCCCCAGCCGCCATAGCCGAGGCGTGCAGGGAACTGCGAAGAGCTGCAACCAGACACAACACATGATGCACCCCCCAGCCGAAACTAACCAAGCATCAATAACCCAAGGATCCCTCCGGAAAGCAGCCGTTTTAATCTTCGCCAGAAAAGACGGAGAAGGCTGCAAACGTACAAACCTACCACCAGGACCAAAAGAGCAGAAACCCCTGCACCGGAGGACAACATGAAGCTCCCCAACCCGACCCCCCAGAGGACAATGCCAACAAAAACAGAGCCTTGAAAAAACAATCTTGAACCGAAGGGGCCACCACTAACTGACGAGAAGAAAGATAAGGGAGCACACTGTCCAAAGACCAGGTTTGGCTCAGGTGGTGCATGAGCAGGCCGGAGGTGAAACAAAGCACGAGAAAGCTTACCGAACAAGAACCACCGGAGAACAGTCCGAATGGAGCCTGATGGTTGAGCCCCAAGTGACCCGAGCCCTCCAAAGTGCAAACCAGACTGCCGCGAACTCCCAAACTGTGCTGTGAGCCCGATGGAAGGACAAACCCCAACATCCCTGGCTGGCCTGGTGAGCATTGGTCTCAAAGTAACAGTTGAGAGACGATGTGTCCGTGAACACATCGAGTGAATGCTTGAGAAGGTGCCAAGGCACCGAACCCCGAAAACCCCGAATAGGAGGCCGGTGACACAGCAACCAACATAAGGCCCCCGGAGGATGAACTCAACGATCACGAGAGAGGCAGAAGGGGCATTCCCGAAGGAACCCAAAGCCAAACCCAACCTGGCGGGTAGACCAGCACAACGAAGTTCAGACTCCCGCACAACTGTTCGAGCAGCCACCGAGTGACCCGGGACGCCCTCAGAAACATCTGAAGGCGGGACCACAGCCGCAGCAACGCCTCTGGAGGGAGAGACAAGGAAGTGATCCAAGAGTCCCAAACAAGACCCAGCCAGGTCTGAACCTGGGACGGAACCAGATGGGACTTCCTCCAGTTCACTAGGAACCTGAACCCGGCGAGCTGGAGAAAGAACCACACCAATGGAGAGCAGACAAGCGGACTGACTGAGAGCCCACACCAGCCATTCATCGAGGTAGGCCAAAACCTACCCTACCTAAGAGAAATGCATAAGTCGAACGATATCAAATGTATCTGAGTCACCAAGAATGCTATCGAGGGAAAAGCGACAGCGGGGGATGGTAGGAAAACAAGATACATGCTCGTCCCAGAAGTCAGGACATTCAACAACGATATGCACAACCGTAAGAGGGACAATGCAATTTGGACAATAAGGAGCAGGTTGGTGCTCCATCAAGTGACCATGAGATAATTTTAATTTAACACTTTCACCCACCGATGACTAAGCATAGAGTCAAAAGTTTACTAGTTCAATACTCACTGATCACTAAGGATGGCGTCAAAAATTAAAAACATGTCGTTTTGTGAAAACCGCAGTTTTGGACATTATATGCATATACACTTGTAGGGATTTTCATTGCGAACACATTGATACCAAAATGAAAGACCTAGGATGAGAATTGAGGTAATAAAGTTGAAAGGAGTAAACACATATTATTGCTCTCTATTAGCCCTCACTGGGGTAACGCACCATCACTTTCTCTGTTTGCTGTGGGTGGTACGTCGGGTTTTTGGACTATATATATATTTACATATACAGCTATTGCGAACACAATGACACAAAAGTGAAAGACCTAAGACGAGAATTGAGGTGACCAAAGTGAAAAAAGTGTACACATTTCATTGCTCTTTAGCGCTCCCGTGTAACTCTCTCTCACTTTGTCTGCTTTGTGCGGGTGGTACGCCGGGCTTTCGAACTTCACATGCATTTAATCATGCAGAGAATTCTATTGCGAATACATTGATATCAAATTGGAAAACCTAGGATGAGAATTAAGGTGACAAAGTTGAAAAGAATATACACTTCTCAGTATTACCGCGCTCTCTAACGGTCGGCCTGGTGCTCCTCCATGCTCTCATCACATCAGTGGGTGGAGTGCGCCACTGTTTTTGACAATATATGCATATACTCCTGTTGGGAATTTTATTGTGAACACAATGATACCAAAATGAAAGACCTAGGATGAAAATTGAGATGACCAAAGTTAAAGGAGAGAACACATTTTATCACTCTAGTGCGCTCCCGGGTAACTTTCTCTCACTTTCTCTGTTTGCTGCGGGTGGTAAGCCGGACTTTTTTAGTTTATTTGCTTTGAGTTCTGTAGAGCATTCTATTGCGAACACAGTGATACAAAATTGAAAAACCTAGGACGAGAATTAAGGTGACAAAGTTTAAAAGAATCTACACTTTTCAGTATTACCGCACGCTCCCGCGAGCTCCAGCGGTTTTCCAAAACCACTAGGGTAGGAGAAATGCTCGCTCGCCCAAAGCGCGAAAGTGTTAATTAAGTGAGTATGGCCAATATGCAACCTCACCAGAGCCGTTTCCCATCGCCGGCTGCGGTGGAAGGAGGACGGCCACGAGGACACAACTTTTAAGAGTACGCAGTTTGTTACCAATAACAGAAGACCAACAAGCCTGCCAACTGGTAAGGACGAAGGAATGGATGACCGGGTAAAAGTCAGAATAAGGAATACCTTTACGAGAGATGGGACAAGAGCGGATAGCTTCTCTGGTGGCAAAATCCGCACGCTCATTTAAAGAGACACCAATATGCCTGGGAACTCAACAAAACTTAACCGACTTAAATTTACTGTGAACAAGAAACAGCCAATGCTGGATCTCGACAACCACTGGATGAACCGGATTAAAGGACCCGAGAGCCATGAGGGCACTACGAGAGTCAACAACAACTACAAAGGAAGATTGACAACGAGAAAGCAGGAGACGAAGAGCATAGAGAATAGCATAAAGTTCCGCTGTGAAGATGCTAGTCTCCGGAGGTAAGCGACACATATAAGTGCAACCAGGAAAACAACAGAGTAACAACAAAACAACAACAACCTACACTGTCCGCAGACTTAGACCCCTTGGTGATGAAGGAAACAGAACGGGAGTGAGAAGAAAG